ATTAGTATTTATGAACTGATCTGCTAAATAAAATAAACTACTAATCTTAGGAAATATGGTGTCTCTAATTCATTATATTGATTATATTCCCTATGTACATTTTAGAATGTTTATACAATATCTGACAAGTGCAATATAGTTAATATTTTTCAAGTCCCCATCCCAATCCAAAAGAGAGAGAGAGAGTTTGAAATCCTAGGAGCTAGTTAAATGTATGCTTTTCCCCATTAAGTGTAGTGCAAGCTTCCCCATCATTCTAGAAATGCACTCTTCTTCTGACGGATAGCATCTCTGATGTGCAGAACAAAGACATGGATTGTGAGAAATCATACCCCATATTTGTGTTGCACATAAGCATTCACTAAGAATTATCCTGAGATCAAACTCCTCTCAGAGGACGTTTCAGAGTTGAGCGTGGGTAACAGCCTAATGCAATAAGCTGTTACAACTCTAGCTTTCCCTCCAGCAATTTTAGAAAACAATATTTTTCCAACTGCTGTATTGCAATACAGGCAGTTAGGAAGCATGACCAGTCTGTGCTCTTTACCCTTCACTGACATTTGGAAGAGCTAGGTCCATGCAACTTTCTATGCTGCAGACTGCTTCAAAACAGATGTATTTTAAGGCTTTGATCTTGCAACTGCATCCACTCAGGCAGACCCCTGCACTTGCATGGAGACTTATTGGTATGCCTACACTGGGCAGCTAGTGGGATATGAGACTTTGCAGGCCCTTTATTTGTAAGGTCTTTGGGGGAGGTTGCAAAGGTGGTGGAGTGTTGTTTTTTTGTTTGTTTTGTTTTTGCCTTTAAAAGAATTATATACAATTATAGTGCTGTATAATCAACCACAACTCCTCTTTAAACAGTGCTTTCATTCTCCTCCCGTGCTTCAAGAACGCGTTAATTTTTCAGTCCCATCCACATACATGCCAAATCCTTTTTACTATTTCAGATGGATTTTAGACTCCTCTCTACATAATTAATAACATTTACAGTACATTTTAACTTGAACAACATTCATCATATGTTTCCCTTCATGATGATAAATATCTTAATATAGGGTTACCATATCTAACAAATAAAAAAAGAGGACCCTCTACGGGCCATGGCCCTGCCCATTTCCCCACCCTCCAGCCCCACCCCAACTCCGCCCCTTCCCCGCCCTAACTCCGCCCCCTCCTCCCTCCCACTCCCAGCCACGCGGAAAGGGCAGCCCCCAGACCCTGCGCCCCGGGCC